GGTAACAATGGTAACAACAACAACAGAACTGCCACCACCAGGTATGATAAGAATTAAACCACTGACAGCTCCAGCAGACAAATCCTGGTGTGGTGGATGAGGCTCTGATTCCAGATGTTTCTTTGTCTTCCAGCTGCTGATCAGCTGTGTCACATGACTGTCCGCACACTGATCGGACTGCTCTGCTTCATCATCATGATCAGCATCCCTGCTGTTACCTGGAGGAAAGGTGGACGAGCTCAAAGAGCCTCTGTCCTCTCATCATCACTGTTTTCAGACTCACTGAAGTGTAACATGATTCAGCTTTAGTGCAGATGTTTGTTGGTTTTCTAAGGTGCTTTGTGATCATCCAACATCATTATATTCATTTCTGTCTCTTGCAGCTCGACGGGTAGAGAAACAGAAGAGAGACAAAGGAGCAGAAAGCAGCCCGTGATCCTCCATCACACAGAAACAACAGCCGTACAGACTGAACTGGGATCAGATCATCGTCATCCAGCCACACAGCAAACAGCCAGTCTGAACATCAGAGTGACGACAGATTCTTCAGCATGTGATCCAGACCTTCAGTACATGTAAAGTATTTGCTGCTCTGCCCTCTCAACGTCCTGCAGCTCAACAGTTTCTCATTTCTTTGTCTTTGCTGTTTCTGGAGCTGTGCTGTATTTAGTCAACAGGCATTAAAAACACGTTAGAAGCTCAGTTAATTTTACATGTGTTACATTCACTGTTTTGCAAATAGAGTGAGTCCATTTTTGATTTGAGTTGTTTGAGTAAAAAAGTAAACTTACTTTACTTTTTAAGTTCATTCTGCTGACAGGGGGCACGAAACTAGACAAACAAATTCAATAATCAAAAAAATGAATGCTTTCATATTTGTATTGACCACAGCAGCCACAGAAACAACAAGAAAACAAGAAAACGAGGCTACAGCCCAAAGCTGTCACAGCAGGACACAGTGTCCGCTCTGACCTATGGTATGCAAATAAGGACATGAATTAAAAACAAAAATCTCGGCATTACAACTAAAGATTACATGATTACATAAAGATTACATGATTACATAAAGATTACATGATTACATAAAGATTACATGCCGAGATTACAACGAAAGAAATAACTAGATCTATCGGTGTATTAAAAATGGTAAGAGTGCAGACCCAGATGGGTTTACAAACAGTTTAAGATCAAACTTGCTCCATATCTGTTTAAACTGTACAACCATGCCTACAATGTGGGCACCTTACCACCAACATTGAATGAAGCAGTTATTACTGTACTCCCCAAAAAAGGTAAAGTCTTGGAGGAAGTGGGATCATATAGA